TCCATAAGCCTGTATACAAGTAAGTCACAGTTGCTTGCAGCCCTGTTCTGGTAGGCTGTATTTTTCTGTGCAGCACAGGGTTCTGCCTACCTGCCCGAGTGTTGAAATACAATACTGTTTCAGGGAGAAGTGCTGCACATGGCCTGCCTGCAGTCAGCGATGTTATTGTGTGGAAGGGGGCTATGTGGGAGGTTTTGTTGCCTTCTCCTCCTTGTTGATGAAGCCCTTGGGTCCCTGTTTTGAAGGGCTCCCACACAGTGCATTGTGCCTGGGGAAATTCCCCTGTTGGAGGGGCCCATGGCTGCAGCTGGGCTTGTGGGCTGCACTGGGCTGCGTGGCACTTAGCCACGCTGCTCTGCTCAGGTCATCAGCAGAGAGGAGAATGTTGAGGTGCTCCTGTGTTCCTCATGCTAAGCATTGTGTGTAGTTTTTCCACCTTGTTGTGAATGTGTGCTGCTGTGTCCTTGCGTTCGTTTTGTCACATTTTAACTGAGGTGAAGTGAATCTGTCCCAGAGCTCCTCAGAGGGGTTTCCAGAGGTGCCCCAGGATGAACCTGTTAAGAGAGTCTCTGGTCCTGTGAACGTGCTGCTTGGCTACTCGTAATGCTCAGTCTGTCTTAAAATGTGGAATGGTAGCTGTGACTCTGCTTTTTCTGTCTGTGTTTGCCAGCAAATATTTGTGAGTGTTGCTGGAGTCTCATCTTGACTTTCACAGAGCCCAACTCCATTTTCTGTATCTGGGTGGAGTATGCTGGTGTCTGATTTTTCCCATGGAGCACAGATGATACTTCTTCTAACTATACCTACAGGATAGAGATCCAAAGTCATGGTTCCTCCTCTAGAAACCAGACATCCAGTGTCACCAGAGATTTAAACCCTGGAACCTTCTATAATTTCACCATATTTGTAGGAGTAGCTGACAGTGTTACTGAAGGAAAAGAAGTATTTATAAAATGCAGTAGAAATAAGTCCCAGTCACTCATATCTGTCTTTTAACTAAATCTTTTTCTTCTGGTACACAATTCTGCTTCTCCTCAGTTTCTTAAAATAATAGCCCTTTTTAATAACTTTACCCCTTTATTTGGAAGTACTAAAAACTTTATCAAGAGAGGAAATAAATTCGCTGTGTGTTACAACTGTAGAAGTTACAAGAGTTTTGGTCTTGAAGGCCAAGTTTCATAAGATGTTTAGTTCAGAGGGACCTTTCTTCTCAGTGCTACTGCTACATTAACTTTTTAAATGTCTTTTTGTATCTGGTCAGAAGGTTGCAATTTTTATTTTGTGTCCTATAGGACTCTCGCACAAACTGACATGTACTGGCTGCTCTTACGAATGGCTACTGCTGTGCTCTTAATGCATAGAGCTTATATTCGTTTTCTTATTTGTTGGCCGCTAAGATTTTTACATAATTATATAGGGAGTTAGCGTCAATCTACATGTACTATAAAAATGTTCTTAGAGTAGTATGTTCAATGGTCGAACAGTATTTTGAAAACTTTGCTGGACAGATACTCAACCTAAAATTTCTCAGTAAACCTGTCTGCAGAGGAGTTAGAGAGCACAGAAGAGGTCTGTGTACTTAGCGCGCTAATTACTTCTCTTCCTCATAGGGTAACAAGTTCTTGTAGGCAGTAGCTTCATCTTTTTAAAAGTGGAAAGGAATAACGAAGTTTTACAAACATTTATACACGGAACTTACAAATAGACAGCTTTTTCTGTTTACTGCAATACTTGATTTCTTAGTCCTCTTTTTTTATTATTCTTTTTTTTTTTTCCCTTCAGTTCCTGCCTTAGTGAATTCATTTCAGTGTGAACCGGTGGCCAAGCAATCTATCCTAATGCTTAAGTGGGAATGTCCTTCTGGTAACAATTCTGGCTTCAAAATTAAAATATTTAATCATACATGGGGAAAAGAACAACAGGCTCCATCCTGCATGAGAGAAGGCTTAGAGGAAACCTTCAGAACAGCATCTTTAGATTATTTCAGCACCTATACTGTTACTATTGCAACTCTTTCAAATCGTTCTGAAAGCCTTCCAGTACAGAAAATGTGCAATACAAGCATTACTGGTAAGCATGAAGATTTGGGAATGAAAGATATTCATAGGATTAAAATATTAACTTCATGACTGCAGAATACCAAAGTTGATATGCAGTACATTATCAGCTTACAGATTATGAGTAAAACACTACATTCATGCAAAGTCTAATGTGACACACAATAAATATGCATTATATGAACAGTGTCAGTATTACAGCATTTTCTTGTTTGGAAAACTTTTCTTTATCAGTCATTAAGGTACTAAAAATATTTCTGGTTTTAGATCCACCTGCTCCAAACAAAGCTCCTTTAGTCAAGGCAGTCAGTCACAGTTCGTTGTCTGTTGAATTCTCTGATTTTGAGCCAGTGAATGGACCATTAAAAGCCTACGCAGTAATGATCACAACAGAAGAACCAGGTAAGATGTTATGATATTGTAGTTGTGTGAAACAATTCATCAGACAGCATTATGTTTTAAATTCTAAATAGGTGTTAAATTGATAGAGAAAAAGCTGACTCAATATTTTCAATCACCTTTCAAAAATCATGAAGCAAATACCTTGCTTGCTTGAAGTCAGATCACTCCTTGTTTTCAGAAAGCCACTGTTTTTACTCAGCCTTTTCCAGCCTGACTTATCCTTGTATGTAAGCCTCATATGTATTGAGTTGTTGGATAACTGGTAATTTGAGCTGGTTTATTACCTCTTAGGTCACATGTGCCTCAACTCTATAATCTGCCTCAAGTTTCTAGGGTTCATCTTCTAACAACAGACACTGTAAAGTGATGCTGTTCTGCAGATGGTGTCCAGTTGGTCACTGTTTGTGGTAGTATGTTCTTAGTCTTTTGGAAGAGAAACTGTTCTGATCACTGTTTTGTCCAGTGCTTGCCTATGTCAAGAAAAGGCAGAAATTAACTCTTTCGTCTCTTAGGGTTTAAGTGTGAGACTTCTTATAAGACACAGCAAAGAAGTATAGGTCAGGACAAGTTTAGTGTCGCCCTGAATGAGGCTTGATGCTGTTTGGGTAGCACAATGTTACCAAATACTGATTGACTTTTTCTACACTGTTTGCATTGAACGCGACATAACAATAGTTGATGTGTGTGTGGATATGAGTGACTTGTCTAGTAAAGTTTGTCCACGAGGACACCAGCATCCACCACTGATGTACATTTACAGAGAAGCTCCACTATACATGGTAGAAGTAAAACCAAAAGGAGATTAAAACAAGTAACACTGGGGAGTAGGGAGGTAGTTCAGTAGATTGCACTGCAGCAGAAGAGATTTCTGAGATTGTCTGTTGCATTCAGCCTTTCATTTCAGGCAGTATTTACAGAGTAATGACAACTGTGGTCAGGTGGCACACTGTATTTACCATCTCAGCAGCTGTGCTGATTGATACAAAATCAGTGTATGACGTATACCATATATGTCCTTGTTTTTTCCTGAAGGTTGTAGGTCTTTGAAGTCTGACTTGAACAACACATACAAAGATTTCAAGAAGAAAATGGCAGTCGCCTATGTAACATATGTTATAGATACAGAGCAGGCAAAATCGCCTTCTTTCCATTCTCAGAATGGTACAAACATCGTTAACGTAGGCAAGGGAAACACAATGTATGGCTATGAAAATGGACCATTGATTCCACTTCATTCATACAGGTATTTATCTCAAACCGCTGTTTGGTTAGTTTTGCTGCAGTTGAAATCTAAAAGATCATTTAATGAAAAGATTACAGATCTTGCTTAAGGCTTTTAAAACCATGTAATGCGCCTCTGGTTTTTTTCTTCTCCCTTATCAACAGGGCAAGTGTTGCAGGTTTCACTAATATAACCTTTTCCACGGCCAACATCATTGTGGGGGAACATAGTTATGTATCATTTTCACCCTGTTCTGAGGCGGTTTTGCTACCCCAGGATCCAGGTATAGTTGATGTCAAATATATGACTGGTGGCTTGGCGCATACACGCTGTGTGGGGATTCCTTAATTATAGCAAGTTTAATAATAGCAAAAAACCCGTTGGTTTCCCTGTGATGGACTGTTCCTTTCTAGGTTTGCAGTGACACTGCTCTGTAAATTGATACCTTGCTAGTGCTGCGGGTGACCTCTTTTTTGCATGTATGACTTCCACTATGGAAGTAACCAAAAACTGTGCTACTTATGGCATGTTAAAAGGAATTGGATGGTGCAGTGAGACTTTAGTACAGAAACAAGTAGCAAAAAGCAGCTGATGTTCTAACAGCCCTGGTAAATTAGAAGCGGGTGTGTTGGAATGCAAATACTGGTCCTTTGAACCCAATTTTTTATTAATTTATCATCCTTGTTTTATTATTCTTAATGAGCTTTCAGTACTGCCAAAGGATACAGTAAAGAAAAGATGTTTAGCAGAGTGGAGCGTGTTCTCTTACTTGTGAGGTTCTCTGGTAACGTGTTGATTGAGTTAGATCATTACCAAAGAGGTAAATCAGTAATGAGTAATACTTGTTCTCTTTTATCAGGTGTTATTGCTGGAGCTGTTATTGGATGCCTTTTAGCTATATTGGCTGTAGTTGCTATAGGGGGTTTCATGTTCTGGAGAAGGAGAAGGTAATGTGTGTTTGTTATTGTATTTGTTGTCATGAGGAACACCAGTATTTCACTTCTGTATCTTTCTCCTAAAAAGGCCTCTCTTTCTGTTTTATATGCTTCTGTCGTGATGCTTTAAAACCCATTCTATAAAAAAAAAAAAATATTTTTTGTGTGTTACAGATTAGAGTTGATGTGTCAAGCTAGTTCAATGACTTTGTTCAACCCCATAGTTACAAACTAACAACTTAAGATTTGTTTTGTTTAGCTCTTCTGAACTCATGCATGCTGATGAAGTAATTCAGTCAGAAGTGAGCAAACATCACAAATTATTGTGCTAGAAGACATATGTAATTGTATCTTAGATGGTTTTATTTGAAAATATCCATTAATCACACTTTTTAATTGCTTGATGGCCTGTCACATGAAACTTCCATTCTGGAGTTTCCAGAAGCTGATGAGTTGCCTAGGGTTTGAGCTGGTCTCTCAGTTTCCAATCTTTTCCAAATTATCTGGGACTTAAGAGCCCACAAGGGCTTTTTCCTACTTCTGATCATGTGGTACATACTTTCTAAAGAGTTAGCTGTAGGGCCCTTAGTCCAGTTTTCTTAGTTTCTTTGATTAACTGCTGTTACTCTTACAAGCAAGCATGTCCAGTAGCTGTGGACAGTAATGAGAAGAGCTTCCTTTAAAGCTAGGAACACTTATTTTCATTCAACTACCACTTTCAGTACCACTGACACATCACTGTTGAACACTTACTGTAGGGATTCTGGGATTAGTAGCAATTCTCCTGAGATGTTAGTTAGCGGTGCAGATCTCTCTGATGTACTTCTTCCACCAAACTGTATGTTTCATGTTCTGGTTCCAACAGTATCTTTTCTGTCAGTCCCATTGCATAACGTCACTGAGTGAAGGACAAAGTATTTTATTCTTAGTGCAGGTGTAAGGTTTGCCTCAGGAGTGTTTTCTTGCACAGAATGAGATGCCTTAAAAGAAATTGTTCTGAACAGGCCCAGGAAATGGCTGTCGTAAGAAATCTCATATGCATTCCATTAAATTCTACTGTGAACCTATTGTGTTGTTTTCTTTTGCCTTATAGGAAAGATAAAAGAAATACTGAAGTGTCCTTTTCTCCAATTAAGTAAGTCCATATCCTTTCACACATTGTTTTCTGAGCTCAAGTGATATTTGCAAAACTTACTCCAAACTCTGATACTTGCTTTTTGTGCAGTTTTATGTAGAGCTTTGCAGTATTAATTCTTCATGGAATCTAAAGACTCCAGCCTGCAGACTAAAAATAATCATATTGATCGAGACGTTTAGAGCTGCCACAGGGATTTGAGTGCTCACTTCTTGAATCACTATTAGACACAGAAACGATCCACGTAGTTTTGAAAAACAGGATGTTTGGATGAAATGCAGGCTTCCGTGCCCATTGAGGAAACAATCCAAATTGTTGATAAAGTGCACATAGGCAGAATTCTTCACTGTGGCCTGAATTTTCCTTTGCTTTATGACTACTTTGTGCTGAGCCATTAATTTGGATAATGTTGAGATTGTAAAAGCTGGCCACAATATATTGGAAGTCGCAGGCAGTGCAGTTGAATCACATTATTTGGTTCTTGCACCAATTTTTGTGCTGATGGAAAGACATGGCCAGAGCATCCCATGAAGTCCCACCTGTGTAGACTTTGATAGTTGACACAAAATACACTAGGGAGTGGGGCCAATCTGTTGGGAGCACAGAAGCAGCTGGCTGACACTTTCTGTGTTATTCTTCTCCTGAAGGATGTGCTGTGTCCTTGGTTTAACAGATCAGTTAAATGCTATGCTTGATATCCTGTCCCCTGTAAATGCGCAGTTTTGTGGCTGCTACTAACAGTCATGCTTTCATTGTTAGAATCACATAGTGAAAAATACAGCTGCATGTATCTAATCAACCTTTTTTTCTTTCCCCCACCCTCCTCTGCAGAGTCAAGAAGTAAGTAAAGCACACTTTCTAACACATTAACTGAATTAATGGTTTATTTACCTAATACCAGTTACCAAAACATGGCTTTTCTCATTGTAGATCAAAAATGATTAAAGTGGAGAACTTTGAGTCCTACTTTAAGAAGCAGCAAGCTGACTCCAACTGTGGTTTTGCTGAAGAGTATGAGGTATGTGACATGAGTGGAGAGAGCTTCATGGCAAACATTTTTGGAAAGGCAGACTAGCTTTCCTGTGGAGCGTACGTGAGGCTTACTGAAGGGGAAGAGAAGGGGCCTTTATTACAGAGGCTATTAAGCTGCATGGATAGCCTTCCCTTCCCTGATTCGGCTCCAAATTTAGTTGAAGTGCATGATAAATACTCACATCCTGAACCATTATCTCTATGTGTGAGCTTATAGCATGGCCTTCAGAGCTCTCACCAGAGCCAGGATCTCCAGAGTCCTTGCCCTAGTTGCACTACAGAGTTAGCCTAGGGAAAGCTATTTAACTTCTTTGCACTTTGTTTTTTAATCTTGGGTTTGTTTTTTTTTTTTTTCTACACAGCAAGGCAGGTCTCTCGCTAATACCACTCACTCCTTGAATGTGTAGGTGTGATTTGCAAACCACACCTGCAAATAGCTCAAAGAAGCAGTCAGAGAAACAGCAATTATGATTTCCTTAGTGACCATGACTTTTTCTATGAAATGTGCTGAAGCTCAATTGTTATAAGGTACAAAAGACAGGAATCAAGTGTCAGTAAGGATTCTGTGTTGTCATGTCTGTTGTTAATGAACCTTATTTTTTTTTTTCATCTCCTTGAACCTATTAACTGACTTTTTTCTTTCCAGATCAAATTCTGTCCCTCTTATTGTACTTTGCAGGCCAGTGCTTCTCCTTGCTGTCCTCTCGGATTTTGCTTCCTTCGGTCCTGTCATGATGCACTTGATCCCTTTCTCCCTGTAATGTGTGCAAAGGTTATGCTAAGTAGTTCACAGCCTTGGGTCAGAATGATCATGCAGTTGATGTCAGTGTCGTGTGTTTCTGCAAAACTGTTTCTGGGCTTTTAAAGCCCATCTCCGGGTTTTAAACATGCTACTATTCCTGCATTCTATATTAATCCCTTCTCTAGCAGGTTTGCCACTGTGACCCTCCCACTCTGTAAAAAGCTGATTTTTATCATCATTTATTCCAGTTTAACATGCCTACTTTTACAGGAAAGGCCAAGAGTGTTTGGGGTATTTGTCTGCTTCAGTCATGTGTGTATGATTGCTAAACCAGGACCAGGTGCTCATGAATCCTCATTTCATTGTAGGAACTCAAGTCTGCTGGTGTTCATCAGCCCAAATTTGCTGCTGAGCTTGCTGAGAACAGGGGAAAAAATAGATACAACAATGTCTTACCATGTGAGTTATCTCTTTGGTTTTGCATCTTCTACTGGTTGAGGTTTTTAGGTGAAAAACCTTGGGTTTGGCTAATCTGGCTTTAATAGTACCCAGAGGTTTCAAACAGGGATTAATGTCCTCAGTTTCCAAATGAATGAATTTAGGCTGCTGCTTTCCCAAAATCACTGTATAAGCAAACCTAAAGAGCTTTCCCTCAAGAATGTTCCTGAAAGTTCCCAAACTTCCTCTCAGGAAAGCTCCTTAAAGAACTTTCCATTAATTAAATAATTTTAATTTTCCATTTGTGAGAAACTTGCAGTCCAGATAGAAAAAACCAAGAAGGTTAATGGTTGACTGCAGACAGACAGATGTGCAGAGCTATGAGAAATATTAAGACCCTGTTGGCCAGCTTTGCAGGCAAACTAAGAGCTGAAGCCCTGCCAAGCTGTCTGCAGGCACCCCGATGCAACAGAGCGTAGGAAGGAATTGGAAGGCGAATGGTGACAGGTACTTAGGGATGTGCTGGAGGAAAAACATCAGCTGCAATGGCAGCAGGAAACAAATTACCTAGTTTTCTCCAGTAATTAAAACTATAGTAAATTTTGTGTTGGATTAAAAATATATAAATATGCAAAACCAAACCATGTTTAAAAAAAAAAAAAATCTGTGTTAGGTGTTCTGAATTTTTATTCTGGCCGCTCATTTTTCTGAACTCTTTCATTATAAAAATTCTAAACTACTGCTATTTATGATTCCTAAAGTTACATTCTTATTCTTAAAATGCACATTGTTCTAAAACACCTTTTATTTAGAAACCATGCATTAGATGAGCAGTATTTTGCTGAAGGGTTCTAGTTCTGAAATTCATAATTTTCTTTTCCTTTTTTCTTTTTGCAGATGATATTTCTCGTGTTAAACTTCCAGATCAAAGCTCTGCAGGTGATGATTATATTAACGCAAACTATATGCCTGTAAGTTGCTTCCTTAGTTGAAAAGAAATATAACATGTATTTTTATGATGCAGGCTTAACAAATAATAATAATGTTTAAAATTGGCTTTTTATGTCTCATTGATGCAAGTGTGTGTGTGTGTGTTTGTATATATTTATTTTGGTTTTTTCTTTGTCGTCTTAGGGCTATAACTCAAAGAAGGCATTTATTGCTGCACAGGGGCCTTTACCCAATACCATAGAAGACTTCTGGCGCATGATTTGGGAAAAGAATATCTACTCTATTGTTATGTTGACAAAATGCGTTGAACAAGCCCGGGTATGTTTTTATTAAAACTGAACCGTCTCTTGAACATGGTTGCATCTCTTCTAATTTTGTTGTCACCCTAGTAGGTTGGAGACTGGACCAATTTCTTTTAACAACCATCTGTTTACTGAAACACTGTTTTCTAAATTAAATAAGCCAATTTTTTTACCTTTTTACCATTTTATATCTGCTGACTGCCAGAATAGATTGTCTCAGAAGGGTTGTGGAATCGCTATCTTTAAAGGGTGGGTTCTTCTCCCTAAAGAATGATTTCAGTAGAGCTTCTCCTGCCTTGGCGTAGGCCATTGGGAAGGGGTGATGTGCTTTCTAGCCCTGCTTCAGGTGATGTGTTATTTAAAACTAAGTCAGTTGCTTTGTTGCTGTGTGTAATGTGTCTAACCTTGTAACTCTCTTCTTAGACAAAATGTGAACAATACTGGCCAGACAAACAATCCAAGAGCTATGGTGACATTACTGTGACAATAGTCTCAGAGATTGTCCTTCCAGAATGGACGATAAGGGACTTCACTATACAAAAGGTGAGTACCCCTTCAGTTGTTAGTTGGGTATAAATATTTGTAGAACTGGTTTATGATATCACTGTGACTTCACACATCAAGCAACACTGGAGTGACAGAATATAGCAATTTCACTAAAACTTAAATCAAATTCAGTTATCTGAGGGAAAAGAGTAAGAGTGGTTTATTTTAATTGAGGCTTTCAATGTATTTGTCTGCTTTCTGCCAAAAGTCTGATTTAAAATCTTTCACACTATTTACTGACAATGAGATTCCTGTGATATTTATGTACATGCATTTGTTCATATGCCCTGGCTTCCCACAACAGTGTGTTAAGTAACATATCCAGAGGTGGGAATGAGTTGTCAGTAAGTCCCTCCCTGCAGAAGAAAGGGATATGCCAGCAAAATCCAGCCTGCTAATAGGAACCGCTGATTGCCCCATCAGTGATCCTGCAGCTCATGTTTCCCTGAGACTTGCACCACAACTTGTGCTTATGCAGATACTTGTAATATCTGCTAGACTGAACAATTAGCCCCATCTCTGTCAGCAAATGTAATGCAGCAGACATGATCTTGGAGTAAAGTGAAAAGTAAAAGGAAATTATTTCAAAGGATTCTCTACCAGAGTAGAAGGAAGAGGGAAACTGAAATATCACTGATCAAATTACTGCACAGTTTGTAACAGGCATCTTTAATAAAGCTGAGCTTTGCCCAGTATATATGGCAGGAAGCCCTACTGTTGCTCTTCTGAAGCCTATTTTCTTTTGGTTTTAACGTGTACTCATCTAGTCCAACGCATCAGAGAGCCACACAGTGCGCCAGTTCCATTTCATGTCCTGGCCAGATCACGGAGTGCCAGAGACAACGGACCTTCTCATCAACTTTAGACACCTTGTTCATGAGTACAGCAGTCAAAATCCAATCGACTCTCCTACTCTGGTGCACTGCAGGTAGGAAGAACATGTTTATGTTAGACACACTTTTTCTCGTGGCTTTTTTAAGAATAATTCTTTTTCAATGTGATTAAAAAAAAAAAAAAGTCTCCTTGTTTAAGAACAGGGGCTATGCACCCTGCTGAATTAAAACCTTTGCCCCAAAATGTACCAATGCTATGTAGGTAGCAAAGTATGTGATACAAAATGCCATTGTCTCTCCTAGCCTGGAAAACTTAGCTCAAAAAGTTGCCTTGTCAAGTGCTTTTATATGTAATCTTGTGGAAGTGAAAGGCTGGGAAACCCCAAAGTGTCCTCCCTGGCTCTTGGTGATGGTAAGAACCACCCCTCTGGACTGCAGAGGCCTGTAATGCTGGAGCCACTGAAATGGTAGAAAGCATCTTACTAGCTTCACTGGCTTTTCATCAGGCCACCGGTGAGCAGGTGGTTGAGAGAAAGCAGTAAATAGCTTTCCCATGCCATTGCAGCGCTGGTGTCGGGAGGACAGGGACGTTCATTGCCATTGACCGCCTGATTCAGCAGATTGAAATGGAGAATACTGTGGATGTGTATGGAGTGGTATATGATCTTCGCATGCACCGACCTTTAATGGTGCAAACTGAGGTAAGGCTGTCTTTCATCCAGCAGCGTGTTTTTCAAATGTGCGTAATAAGCCAGGAAAGGTGGATTCAAGATGTAGCTCAGAATTACAGGAAGATGAGATGCTAAGGAGCAATCTGAAATTGCTCTTTATTTAACTTCCCTCCTTCCTGCTTCATCGATTCCCACAGCAGCAGTTGCAGCCAGGGGCTGTAGTGCGTCCAAGCAGTCTCTTTACAGAGTACTTTGTAGGACTGGCATTTGCAGCTGGAAAGAATCAAATCCTGAAAAACCCTTCTTTTTCAGCTTGTTTTACCCACGTGAGTTTTACCTTTGTAGTTGTGAGCCAGAATTATCTTGAGTCAAGTGGTCTCGGTGTGCATCTTTTCTTTTGTGTTGTCCAGGAACACATGTGTTCCTGCTG